TTTGACGTAGCCGCTAGACATGACAATCCCCTCCTCAGGCAAGCCGTTGACTACGCACCCGACGTGAGCGACAAACACAAAAGACCTAGACACCAACTTTTTGACCCCGGGTGACCACCCCAACGAACCCCCCCCCCCTCCCGCTAACCTTTTCTGTTTTAGAGACAGCCAGGAACAAGAAACGAAGACAACGACACACACACACATACACACCCCCCATACCATCCTTTCCCCTCCCCTCCCGCGCTGGGCTAAGGGCCACCTTAGCAAAGCGCATCCCAGGCTGCATAGCCGCACTACCCTACCCAACCATACCACACATAAACATGACACTACCCCCGGGGTTTACACAGACGAGCCGGCGAAGCAAGAAGAGCGCCAGAAGAAAGGGCCCTAGCCGGCGGGGCCCAGCCAGGACAAAAGGAGGTCCCACAAAGCGCCTACACCGGCCGCATTTGCGGTCGGGGTAGACGACGGATGGGGCCCACCTACGAAGGCTGTCCAGGCCTACACGAGATGAGGCAGGATAAAGAGGGATAATCCCCCTCGATCCCAAATCATTGAGGCCAATTTCTAGCCATGGAATAATGGCGCGTGGCGCGCTTTCGCTTTTAGAACTAATAATGACGTTTCAAGTTGTCTTTGACAGTCTATATAAATTGTACTCTCACACTAAGTTTTGAAGACAAAAAACAAATTGATTTTCGAAACGTCAACACATGGAGACTTATGTAGTCTCCATGGGTCAACATATGGAGACTACACAAGGAGCACGAACTACATCAGATAAAAGAAGTAAACTACATGTAAAAAATATCTTAGCAAATTAGAGGGCGCTAGTCTCCCATGATATGCAATGAAATAGTGGAGGGGAAATAAAGAAAGCGGCAGTTTGAATTAAAAATCAATCATGCCGTTTTTGTGTTACAAATTTTAAAATAAATAATGTAGGCTACTTTGAATTAGATAAATAAATCAATAAATAATGAAAATACGTCGGTGTACAAGGAACACTAGTGACCCTAGCGGTAAAAACTATAAGTAATTTCTACTATTACATTTTACATTGACAAATTTTGTCAATCTCCCGTATGAGTTCATGCTCCTTGTCTAGTCTGCCATCGCTAATACTTATTAAAGTGCGTGATATACAGTGAATAAGTTCTGTTTTTTACTTGTCTTCTTTCTTTCAGTGTTGTCAGGCAAAACTATTTTCATAAAAATATTTCTCGACTGATTTTTTTGACGAATAGATTTGACATTTTTTGCAGCTGGGAAAATACCTAACGAATAAAGAAATAAACTATATAAAAAAGATAATAAAGAAAAGTGTCAATAATAAATTCAGATAATATGTGCCATAAATGTTTTTATCAAATTTGCGAAAGCCGGCCCACTTTTTCACTCTTTCTGCACCTCAACTAAATTCAACACTGACGTTGGACGTCCGTTATTTTTCAATTCGACTTTTTCCTCTAAACTTAAATTACTAATAACAAGTTTTTTTATTTCACAAACCCTCATAAAACCCTTTAAACTTAAACTTATAAAATATAATGTCTTAAAAAGCGCCAAAGCAAAAACAAAACACATATAACCACACTTCAGTGATACGGGTTACTGCCTCATGGAGTCCCAAAACAAAGCGCGCGAGCGCGCGAGCCTATCGTCGCCTATCCCCTCCACGTGCCAACTTGTCCAATCATATGTAAAAATATGCTTCCACGATAGATTTCACGGTCCGCGATGGAGTGGGGATTGCGCGCGCGGTTAAACATAACTCTTTGGTACGATCATAGATGGCAGATGGAATTAATCTGAGCTACGTTCACGGAGTACATGCACTTTATGCAACCAACCTAACATCCAAGAGATATTGAATGCATGCTATTTAGATTTCTTATTGATTTAAATAAATACATTATTTTAAGTTTATAGTTTGAAAATATCTGGGGGGGGGGGGGGGGGGTCCCATAGTCCTCCTTCACGAGCCGCCACTGAATTTCAGAGAAGACCAATGTACAGGGCGTTCCGTTAAAAAAGTGAGTACCTATAGCTACACAGGTCCGAAATGCAAATTTCTATTTTTTATATAGGTAGGTATTTCTTTGAATTGGCAAGAAAGTTTCCTAAAACTACTCTGTAATGTACCTATATACCACTTTTATTCTAATAGAATACTCCTGGCGTATACTTGACTGGGTACTATAAAGTCCGTTGCTATACATTTAACAATATAATGCCACGTGACGTGAAAAATGTTACTTTTTCGCATTAGTGCCTCATTTTGATATTTAATTGAATGTAAAAAAGCATCATTATATAACGATTGTACAAAAACTGGAGGATTAAGGCTGGCTTTTTCGAGGGCATTTTATTCCTTGAAATTAGAGACCACAACACTAGGTATGTAATTTTAATCGAGGGAGTGCCAAAAATACAGGGTTGAATATTTTGTCTGGTGGTGAAAGTCTATCAAATGTAAATTAATTTTTAGTTAAAAATTAGTGTAAGTATACAAACAACCTGAAATTTTATAAATTATATACTTAAATTTTCTTTTTAATTTGAATGTGACAAAATACATAAAAACTGCTTAATAATGCCATAAATAAATAAATACAAAGAGTAGCTTGACAGCTATTACATTAATACTTCAGATATGTAAAATTTTTGAAAATTAAAAACTTATTGTTAAAAAAAATAACAAATGTTCAACAAAATCCCTTAGTTTTATAAAGAAATATTCGTAGTTATGAATTTTCGTCATTTTTTTGTATCACCAGTATCACTTTATCTTCTTCATCACTAACACACATTCTAGTTAAATCAGAAGCTACAGAAGCTGTATCACAGTTACTGTTTTTTTCTATCTGATCAGTCAATAATACATCTTGTTGGTAGATGGGAGAGCATTCCATACTTGTAGTTAAATCCTTGTTGGCCCAAGTTCTTCCAGCTATTGCCAATTCAGGCGGAGGAATATCAAAAGTTATTGTTTCAGGATCAGGAATTGCTATTGAAAGCTGACTTGTGCTGAAACGAGGAAAACTAATAAAAATGTAAAATAAACTAATCGCACTGATTTATTTTTCAAGCTTCGATTTCTTTTGGAATGTTTCATAATAATCTAGACTTAATCAGCAACACTTAAAACTCCGGTTTTTCAAATTCCACTAATTTAATATGTATACAGCGTGCCGCCACTATCGCTATCTCGGAAGGTACTGATCTGATAAATCTGAAAATTTGGCTATCTAGCAAAGGCAGTAGGGCCAACACAGCTAAAATATTTAGAACTTTATGTTACTTCCGGTTATATCGGAAGCCGGCATTAACTTTCTTATTTTAAATGGGACACCCTATATATTAGTGCATTTTTGGATTTTACGTGTAATTTGAGGGTCACTTTATTAAATATTCCCTATATCTAGGAGTTATAGATTTTGAGATATTAATTTTTAAAGAAAAATTTGACAGATGCAATGGACCGCGGAGATGCTAGTAACTCTTTTCAGGAACGTGATATCAGGGTGATTTTTGTACCTGTAAGGGGCATAGGTAACACTAAATCATGATATACCAACAAATTAAAACATTTAATACTAGGTGTTTCATTTTTGCTGTTACATTTTGATAACTTCAAAGAGCTGTAACTTTGTTAACTTACATGGAACACCCTGAATTTTTTACCCTGTCGTATGCAGATTGAATTTCCTTTCTAGTGATTTAAGCATTGTTAGGGTTGAAGTTATTACTTTTAAAAGACATTTGTAATTTTCTATATTTTTGAGTTTTTCTCGTATTAGACATCTGTTATCAAATAGGCCATGACTAGAAACATTCCAGAAACAATTAATTAAAATCGTAACTTGACATATTTGTCAAGTTAGTTGTCGAATTACTGTTGTGTCTGTAATAGTTTTTGCCGAAAATTTAAATTAAAATGCCTGGAGATCGTTTTTTTAAATTATACTAATGATGATTATTTTAATTTGTTTGTTATTTATGGACACTGTGACAAAGTATAACTTTAAGAACATGTAGAGAATTTGCTGCTCGTTATCCAGAAAAACGAAAACCTTCACGAAATACAGTATTATTCTATCACTCTTAAACCTATTATATGAGTTTATCTTAGTTTAGTACCTATTTATAGTAAGGAGTAAGGAAATGTAACAAAGGAACCTACTATAGCTGTTTCCGTATTTTCATCGCAAGCAAAAGATATTTTTTAATTCTGTATAAGTTTTACAAAGCGTAAACTTTTAAGATTGTCCACAAATTGCCTTCATGTATTTCGTGAAGGTCTTCGTTTTTCTAGATATCGATCAGCAAATTCAGCATGTTCTTGAAATTACTTTGTTACATTTTCCATAACTAACAAACGATTTAAACGATCCTCAGGCATTTTTATTTAAATTTTCAGTGAAAACTATTACAGACAATTTGACAACTAGACAGATGTCAAGTTATTTTAATTGTTTTTGGAGTGTTTCTTGTCATGGGCAATTTGATAACAGGTCTGATACAAGAAAAACTGTTCAAAAAATAGAAAATTGCAAATATCTCTAAAAATAGTAAGGGCAACCCTAACAATGTTTATATAGTTTGAAAGGTAATTTCAATCTGCATAGAAGAGCAAAAAAAATACAGGATGTTCCATTTAAGTTAACAAAGTTATAGGTGTTTGAAGTTATCAAAATGTAACAGTAAAGATGAACAATCTAGTATTATGTTTTTTAGTGTAATCTTTACAGGTACCAAAAATCCACTTGATATCACGCTCCTAAAAAGAGTTACTAGCCTCTATGTGGACCCTTGCATCTGTCATTTTTTTTTTTAATTAATATCTCAAAATCTTATAACTCCTAGATATAGGGAATAATATTTAATAGTGACCGTTAAATTTCACGTAGAATCTGAAAATGCAATATAGGGTGTCATATTTAAAATAAGAAAGTTAATGTCGTTTTCCGGTATAACCGAAAGTGCTATCAAGTTCTAAATATCTGGCTGAGTTGGCTCTGCTGCCTTTACTAGGTTGCCAAATTTTCAGATATCGATGTGGCGATTCATGGTGGGACACCAGCATTTTTTAGTGTTTCGAAATCTGGTTGGATATTTATGTGCAATTCGTTAATACTTTAATTAATAAAAGTGATGCAAATAGTTTTAAGAAACAATATACGATACATAAAATTACCTAGACATATTAGAAGCAGAATTCATTAGTGGAGCTACTTTTGTGTGTAAAGTCATTTGGAACCATTGAGATGTATTAGGTCTAAAATAAAGTACAGATACAACATTTGTCCATTAATCTTACCGTAGATAAACATAAATCTTTATATACGATGTCAAAAATGATTACAAGCCAGGTGACCAGAAATTTTGTTTGGAACAGTAATTTTATTTCCTTTACGTTAGCAATTATTTTGGTAAACCAGTAAGATCAAGAATACATTAAAACACAACATTTTGTTTCGCCGGCTGGTGGTTGTTGCAATTTTTCACATTTTATTCAACCAATCACCGATCGCATTATCTCGAGCGTAGATGTAACGGTTTGTCATTGTGATTGTAAAAGATTTCTTAATATTGATGTCGATAACATTTAGGAATTTTTAGTTGACAGTACCAGCTGTGCAATGTTAGTTGCCCAAGTTCGGCGGCCACAGGCTTGTACTCATTTATGAAGGCTCTGTATAACGTATACTTACAAAGGCGTGTAGCGTATAATAGGAGGGATTTGTTTTAAATCCATTGTGGAGAACTTCTCGTACCCACAACATGATGAGGCATTTTCAGATTGATCATATTTATTTTGTCCAGTTAGCTTGTTTATAGGAAATTTTAATTTTCCTATAAATGAGAGAAAACATTATTTGGTATTTAATAGTCATTTATGATATATGTTGTAAAGAGTTATGTTATGACATTACATCAAACGTTGAGAGTGTGGTAATACGTGCAACACGAATATTGTACGAAATTTTGTCTACTTTCGTAAAATAATTCAATAAAAAATACGAGGAAAATTATGACAAGTTGTTTAAAAGTAATAGGTAAGCTTGAACTGCTAATTGTTCTGAGATATTTTGGTTGTTGTCGTTTGCTATCAGAGAATAAAGTTTTTGGAGGCAAAAGTACGGGAAAATGTCTGATTCTAACAAAGGTATATATATATCCTCGTTTACAGAGGCAGCTAGCACTGAACTTGAATAACATGCACAAATTTGAAAAATAGTGTTAACAACCATGGCTTTCGTACGAAAAAAATCATAAGAAAATTTACACACCTAGATTAGAAAGATAATTTATTCTAACCGAGGGCAAGCAACCTGCCAGGTATTTTTTAAAAATATATCGAGCTTCGTCCTTCTATTGCCATCCACCGAAATTTTTCTATGCTTCTACAAGAAGGAAAAATAGTAGTTCTTAGCCGATTCGAAATATATCAAAACAAATTGTAAGGTAGTTAGACTTAAAGAACCCCGAATAATATACGGGGCACTGTTTTTTACACGAAAACGCAAATTGTTACGTGTCATGAAAGGAGGAAATCCTCTGCTACTGCAAAGAAGTATGGTGAGAGTACCCAGAAAAATAAGAAAAAAATGAGAAACAAAATTATGAAATCCAACACAACCACGATGGTTGAAAACGCCTACTTGAATAACTCACTGATATCCACCTCTGGTCTCCAAATTTCATTTTGCAAAAAATGTATCACAAATATGGCATACTATTATGTAATAAACAAAAATTAATATATATTTTTCTTGTCAAACATGTCAAAACCATTACGGAACTATTTTTAAGACTGCAATATTGCTTTTATTAAACGCAAGTAGAAATATTTGTATGTTTATTTTAACTACGTGAAGTTTATTTTAACAAGTAGGCTACAAATATATTAATGATTTTGCAATTTGAACAGTTACGACAATGAAATTTTACTCTGCTTTAAAAGTATGGGGTGTTCCAATGAACTTCTATGGGGTGTCCTAAAATTCATGCAAGATTTGAATTTTGCGTCATTTGTGCGGTAAGGTGTTGCCAACCAAAATGAAGATAGCGTAACAGCTGATAGTTCATTGTTATTAATAATGGAGCGCACATTGTTGAGCAATATTTTAAAAATTATGAAGATTTGGCAGCTACAGTTTGTAATTGTCGTACAAAATATGGCTGGAATATAAACTATAAATAGATTACCTAATCTTGAAAAACTTAGAGAGACTGGATCAATTAGTGATTAAGAATTGGATATTTCGATAAGCTCTTTATGACGTATTCTAACCAAAGATTTGTATCTGTATGTTTATAGAACGTTATAATCAATTGAAAGTAATTGACTCGAGAACTGATGCATACTGACTATGAAGAGCGAAGAGAGTTTGTTGAATGTATTAGGGAACACGAAGTGGATGCTGATTTTTCGAACAAAATAATCTTTAGCGATGAGGCTCATTTTCATCTTGATGGCTTCGTTAATCGAAAAATTGTCACATTTGGGGTTCACAAAATCCACGAGTGATTGTTGAGAAACAAATGCATCCACAACGTGTCACTGTTTGGTGCGGATTGTGGGCTGGGACCATCATCGGATCATTATTATTCGAAAATACGGCTGGTCAGGCAATAACAGTTAATCCAGTTTTTTGTGCCTACATTGCAAGATATGAATGTACATAGACGATACGTGGTTTCAACAAGACGGTGTCGTACAGCAAGAGAAACAATTCAATTACTGCATTTTCTGAACGTGTAATTCCCTATTTTGTTACCAGAAGTGGCTGCCCAGATCATGCGATTTAACGCCGTTGGACTTATTTCTTTAGGGTTGTTTGAAGTCTAAGGTTTATGCCAACAACCTCACGACAACCCACGCCACGCTTTGTAGGAGGAAATTGAGCGCTGTATGCTGTATCAACGAAATTCGTATGCGTATGTGCCAGCAAAGCCATGGCGGTAATTTATCTTATGTCTATTTCATATAACATAACCCTATACTGTATAGGTACTTTATGAATCAATAAAAAATTTACAATTTTTAATTAAAAACCTGTGTTTTCTAGCAAAATTAATTTTTGCATCAATTTTGGGACACCATTTATTTGGATAATCTGTTAATTAGTTAAATATTTCCAAAGTAAAACTTATAATAAAAAATACACCTATAATTAAAAAAAATATATTATGCACATATACGACATATCACTACAGGTGTTGATTAATGTATGTATATTTAGCCTGATAGCAAAATAATTTAGCTGAAGTGTTCATATTACCTGTATCTATAGGGCCAAGTTGTTGAGCTACATTGAAAATGTAATCAGCTGTCCAGAAATTGGGTATTTGTACAAATATTTTTCCTGTATCTGCAGGTAAATAGAAACCTAACTTATGTAATAGTAATAAAAATGGTTGATACTTCATAATGTTTGATTGCTCAGTTGTCCAAGGAATTACCGGAACTGGTAAATTTAATACTGTAAAATGTTTATGAAATTATATTATTTCTGAAATTAATTAAAAATTACTTACATACAAAATAGTATACTGTAGGTTCCATAATGTGATTAACGTCTGTAAATTCATCTACTTTACTTAGCACTAATTTTATAAAACACACTTCGATCAAAAGTTTTTGTAGCAACAACAAATATTTACTATTTTGCTTACACAGATAATCCCTTAAGATCCCTATATCACTTTCAAAGTGAATTTTATAGTCTTTCAGTAAACTTTCTTGAAAATTCTTGTTGCAACTTTCACTTGCAGGTGTCGATTGTTCTTTTTTTATTTGCGTATTGCTTCTAATTAATTCATTATACTCATCAAAACTGATTATATTTTGGTCTAGAAGTTCTTTGATTACAGCAAGCTGAGACTTCTGTTTTAAACCATTTCTCTCATATTTTTTTGTAATGTTGGCAATGGTATCACAAGATTTTTTACTTTGGTTGTAGTACTTTAAAAGGTTATCTTTTTCTTCTTTCGTCCACCTAAATAATATCAGTATTTCATCGAGGGAACTACACCTAAATAAAGTGAAAAAGCAATACAAAAATAAAAATTGATAAAAAATTAAATTAAAATAAATGTGGAACGTCTAACTTACTCTGATTCAGAATCGTTTTCTGAAGATAAAATCTCATTTGTGTCTTGGATACGATTGATGGAGATGGGCGCGTTACTTGAGTTCACGTATTGTGTTCCTGGTGTGTTAATGAATTTGTGTATCACATACTCTATTAAGTCTGACCAGTCCTTAAAGAAAAACCGCAGCTATAAAACATTTAGAATAACAATTTTATGTTATATTCATACATCACATATTTCATAATCAGTTTCCCAAATTTTAGAAAAAGTTTTTAAAATACTAGGTTGGAATAATGTTGGCACATTCTTAAGATCGCCTCCTATGTGATGCATCATTGTAAATATACAATTATTAACAAATTCGCCATTTTCCTTGAAATTTTCTAGCAATAATCCATACTGGCGCATTATTTCCACAGAGGCAAAACTGAAAAATATAATAAACTTAATTTACATCTTGAATATATACACATATTACTTAATGTAGCATATAAGATCCTAGCAATACACATAAAAAACAAGTTAACGGAACAAATGGAGGATATTGTAGGAGAATACCAGTGTGGCTTTAGAAGAGGAAGAAGTACGATTGACCAAATATTTACATTAAAGAAGATACAAGCTGAGAGTTTCGAATGCAATAAACCTACATTGGTATTATTTGTAGATTTCAAACAGGCGTATGACAGAATAAAAAGGACTATATAGTATAGTGCCTTAAAAGAACTAGGAATTCGTAGAAAATTGATACATGTGATAAAATTGACACTGGAAAGATCAGAAAATAGAGTACGAATAAACAATAAATCATCTGATAAATTTGAAGTTATGGAGGGAGTAAGAGAAGGTGATCCGTTGTCGTCAGTTTTATTTAGTCTATGTCTTGAAAAAATTATAAGGGATGCAAAAATTAATAGGACGGGTCTGATATATCAGAAAAACACCAATGCCTGGCCTTTGCTGACGATTTAGTTATAATGGCAAGAAGTAGGAACGAAATAAAAGAAGTGGCAAATAGATTGGAAGAGGAAGCTGGAAAAATGGGGCTGGTAATTAACGAGGACAAAACTAAGTTTATGAATTGGACGGATCAGGATTATAACAAAAATAGTCATTTAACAGTGACAACAAATAGGAATAAGTTATATAGATTTGAAGAAGTTGAGAAGTACACGTGCCTTGGCGCTGTGTTTACACGAAAACCAGAAGTAGCAGTGGAAATAAAAAATAGATTAATGGCAGGAAACCGATGTACGTGTGCTCTAAATAAATTACTAACAAATAAAATCATATCCAGAAAAGCGAAGGTGAGGATATATAAAACTGTTATTAGGCCGATTGTCATATATGGTAGTGAAGTTTGGACTCTAAGCAAAATGGAGCAAAACATGATGGAAGTGTGGGAAAGAAAGATATTGCGTAAAATATATGGAGGAGTTAAGGAAGGGGATATATGGAGAAGGCGGACAAATAAAGAATTGCAGGACTGTTACAACGAATCAAATATAGGAGGTCTAATTAAAGCACAAAGATTACGATGGCTGGGACATGTCCAAAGAATGTCAGAGAATAGAATCCCAAAAGTGATGTTAACCAGCAGGAAGGAAAAGAAGAGGAAGACGGAAATTAAGGTGGAAAACCGAGGTGGAAAAGGATCTAGCGTTAATGGGAATCAAGCGATGGAAAGAAAAGGCAATAAATAAGAAGATGTGGAGAGAGATAGGAAATCAAGCCATGGACCTTCTAGGTCTGTAGAGCTACTATATATATATATATAACCCACATCTGTTTATAATAATAAGTTTAAGGAATGTAAATGTACTTACTGTTTTAAATGTTCCGTCATAGTGTTTTGTTGGCTCTTTGATTTATTATCCAGAAACAATAAAAAATTATGATTTGTTATAATAAGATCTTGCAGATACTGTTTACTCTGAATATTTGGATTGTATTGTTTTAGTAAAAGAACAAATAACATTTTCAGGTCTTCCGCTTTACATATTTGTTCTTCTAATTTTGTTAAATATTCTTTGTCATTATCACTCAAGTGAATCATTTTTTGGTAAGTTTTTAGTCCTTGTAAAAATTCTCGTAATGCGGTTACCACCTGAAATATAAATTTCAGTAATAAATCCAATAAATACGTAAGCTAATCTAAAATACAGGATGTTTCTTAAGTAGAGGTCAAAAATCCAGGGGCGTATTCTGTGGCCAAAAATAAGGGGTTTTTATTAAATAAATGTGGGGTCTTAGGACAGCCATTGTCCAGCTACAGCGTGTCAAAAATTAAAAAAATATCAGTTTTTAATTTTTAATTTCTAAAACGCTTGAGATAATTTAACCAAATTTGATGTGCATATTTAGTATGATAGTAGGTATGAAATAAAAAATTATCAGCTTTAGAAACTTATCAGTCATGTTGGTATCATGGATCATTATTTGCCAAAAACAAATATAGCACCCTGTATTACAAATAAAATAGGTCATCATATGCGCCATTGTATTATATTCACTTTTTGTTTCTTTACACTTTTTTGTATTCCAAGCCGATTAACAACAAAATTGATTTATTTGATCAAGTGCATTTTTAGTACTTAAATTACTTAAACATATCTTAGAGAGGCTTTGCAAAACAATCATAATAAGAAAACCGTCATCTTATTTAATATTGTATATTGTCAAATTAAGCTTATTTTTTAAAAAGATTAAGTTTTAATAATGGCTTATGCATATTCAAATGCTGAAATGGCCAATATGGTTTACATTTACGGCCTTGCAGATGGAAATGCCACTGAGGCTAGGCGAATTTACAAGGAAAGATTTCCAACTCCAAATCCAAGAATGTTCAGAAATGTTTTTCAACGCATATCGGAGTCAGGCACATTTCAGAAAGGTTCAATTCTCTTTGAGCGTTAGAACGCCTAAGTTGGAAGAAGGTATTTTACACGAAATTGAAGGAAACCCAAATATTAGTATTATATTAGGAAGATCGCTGCAAATCTTAATGTGAATCATAAATTAGTTTGGTCCGTTCTGAAGCATCAATAGTTGTACTCGTATCACATACAAAGGGTTTAAGCCTTACTGCCGAAAGACTATCCCGCTCGATTTTACCACTCGATTTTGCAAAAAATTGAATAAAATATTGACTTTACCGCTAGCATATTGTTTACCAATGAAGCTAATTTTTGCAGATATGATATAATAATGAACATCCACAATAAACACGTTGAAAACCCTCATGCCATAATGGAATCTCTATTTGAACATCATTTTTCTTTGAATGTAAGGGTGGGCATTATTGGAAATTTTCTTGCTTGGCCTTACTTTTTACCTAGAACTTTAACCGATGCTTCTTACAGACATTTTATTGAAAACGTTTTATCTGAACTACTTGACGATGTTCTCTATGCGCTAAGATAAATAATGTGGTTTACGTACGACGGGGCTCCCCCACATTTTAGTTTGACTGCTTGTGAATTTTTAAATGAAAGATTCGGTAATAACGTGATTAGACGAGGCACTCAAGAACCCTTTTGATTTTTTTGTTTGAGGATATCTCAAGACATTAGTTTACAAGGTTCACATTGAATATGAGGAGCACTTACGTGAACAAATTATAGCTGGTTGTGATGTGATAAGAGCTACTTAGTCGAGGAAATAAAGCACTAAAAACGGCCTAACCTCTGAATTCTGTGCAGTAAGATGGATTGTGATACGGTTTTTTGCATTCGATTCGTTAGAGCGTCCAGAAAGTTTGTGACCCTATGTGGTCAATGAGAAATGAAAATTGCATCGGTGCATAAGAAAAATGCATTTTTAGAATCGCATCTTGAAGAGTTAAAATATGAAAAATTTACAACTCGGAAAATATTGACGGAAATGAATTCAATTTTACTGCTCGGGGGTTCTTGGGGTCGCTGAAGACGAATATTACGACGGCAACGGTCTCCGAGGTACCTAGTGCCCAGGGTGGCCGGTTTCCACGTCGTCTCCTGGAGTTTTGTGGAAATTCGTTATAAACTTAGCCGAAACTCGTTACCTCGGGGTTTTTGGGGTCACTCAACACGAATATCACGACGGCAACGGTCTTCGAGGTACTTAGTGCTCCAGGGTGGCTGATTTCCACGTCGTCTCCTGGAGTTTTGAGGAAATTCGTTATAAACTTGGCCGAAACTCGTTACCTCAGGGTTTTTGGGGTCGCTCAACACGAATATCACGACGAATTTTTAGAAAACGTATTTTTTGTAATGAATAAATGTATTTTTATAAAAAAAATAATTAGGAATTAAATAGTTGTCACAGAAACCAGCCATCCTGGGTACTAGGTACCTCGGAGACTGTTGCCGTCGTGATATTCGTGTTGAGCGACCCCAAAAACCCCGGGGTAACGAGTTTCGGCTAAGTTTATAACCAATTTCCACAAAACTCCAGGAGACGACGTGGAAACCGGCCACCCTGGGGCACTAGGTACCTTGGAGACCGTTGCCGTCGTGATATTTGTGTTGAGCGACCCCAAAAACCCCCAGGTAATGAGTTTCGGCTAAGTTTATAACGAATTTCCACAAAACTCCAGGAGACGATGTGGAAACCGGCCACCCTGGAGCACTAGGTACCTCGGAGACCGTTGCCGACGTGATATTCGTGTTGAGCGACCCCAAAAACCCCCGAGTAGCAAAATTGAACTCATTTCCGTCAATATTTTTCGAGTTATAAATTTTTCATATTTTAACTCTTCCAGATGCAATTTTAAAAATGCATTTTTCTTATGCACCGATGCAATTTTCATTTCTCATTGATCACATAGGGTCACAAACTTTCTGGGCGCTCTAACGAATCGAATGCAAAAAACTGCATCACGATTCATCTTACTGCACAGATTTCAGAGATTCAGTGCTTTATTTCCTCGACTAACTCCTGGAATTTTTACACCTATTCGAGCTGCAATTTCAAGAAGATCTGAAGCATCTATTTTGGCTGAAGGTGGACATTTGCAACATTTATTGTAATAAATCATAGTAAAGTAGTTCCATTGTTGTTAATCGGTATGGAATACAAAAAAGTGTAAAGAAACAAAAAGTTGAAATAATACAATGACGCATATGATCTATCTTATTTGTAATATTATACAGGGTGAAATATATATTTTTTTGGCAAATAATGATTGATGATACCCACACCTCCGCCACTGGTAAGTTTCTAAAGTTGGTAATTTTTTGTTTCATACCTCCTGTCATACTAAATATGCACACGGAATTTGGTTAAATTATCTCAAACGGTTTAGAAATTAAAAATTAAAAACTATTTTATTTTTAATTTTTGACGTGCTGTAGTTGGACAATAGCTGTCCTAAGACCCCACATTTATATAACAAAAAAATCATTATTTTTGGCCACAGAATACTCCTCTCGATTTTTGACCTCTACTTAAGAAATACCCTGTACCTATACTTAAAACATATTGATATTAAAAAATGCTGATGAGTACTAAATAGTATTAATTCAAAAAATTAATAACTTACCAAATGTAGTCGCCGTAAACATGGTTTTATATCAATATCTGGAATAGTACAACTGATTTCTAGTTCTTCATAGACCCAAACTCCTTGAAATACTAGATACGATAATGTGTCATATGATAATACTGGACTTATATGTTCCGGATCTAATTCCAGTTGCGTAGCAAATTTTAAAAAATACGTGACTAACCAGAAAAAATGCGATGTATCTATTGCTATGTGGATATTTGTTAGTAATTGAGTACGAAGTTCTTTGATCAGAGTACCATAACCTTTTAATAGAAAATCCACTGTAAATTCCTTTAAGATATTTGAAATATCATCATCAGTAGGCAAATGATGCATTAAGCCTTTCATGTTAATGCTAAAATGATTAATAATTAGAAACATTATGTATTGATAATAATAATAATAANAACTGGAGGAGGAACAGAGGATGCAGGCAGGGCCATCGTGGTATATGGACGTAGCAAACCTAAGACGAGATGGCTGCTGAGCCCTAAACCAAATGGTGGGGCCATTGCAGACTTAGGAAGCATTTAAGTTTAATAGAAACTGAGGAGGACCCTTCATGAACGAAATGTGGAGTAGGGGAGGACACCCCTGTCCACCTTCTGGGACACTGTGCAGCCTTTGGGAGGTTAAGACATAAAGTCTTTGCTGCTAAAGAGCTGCAAAGGGGTTGAGGTGGGGGACCTTCCATGGACCAAAATCCTGGCGTTCATCAGGGTACCCCATAGGTTCGAGGAGGGTCAGATGCAGATAGTGGACAGGTGATGGGACGGTGGGGCAGGCAAAAAGGGCCCACCTGTGGCCTACTTCCCAGGCTGAGGCCGCCCCCTTCACTACTACTATTTTTGGTCTAATATTTCTACTCTTAGTTATATTCAACTCTACCATTGACTGATATCTGTGTTATTTTAATATTTAATTAATGATTCCTTTATGCCTTTATTTTCATATAAAAACAAATTATTGAAGATAAAGTTGATTATTGCAATTTAAAGAATACATACATATTGGTTTTGCTTCTTTTTACAAGCTTTTTTCGCCTCAATTCCTTTTTTTCTAAAACTGTAGTAACTCTGAATTTTCCATTATATCTGCTTTTTTGAAAGCTGTGTGGTTTTTGATGGACAGGTTTTTGCTGCGGTTGATCATCCTCGTTGCTGGAAGTTGATATTGACTCTTGATTTTCTATTTGAGTTACATATCCACAGTCAGATATTTCACTTTGGGAAGACTGGCACATATAGGATATCTTTTTATTTGTGGAATTTTGATTACATAGTTGTAACTGAAATTGTTGTGGCTCATTTTCGTTAGACTGAAAGAGAGAATGTTAATTGACGTTTTCCATAGTCAATATTAAGTTAGGAGCCTACCTCCAAGCTGTGACCCATAGAAGAAATACCACTACTAGTACTGGTTTCAGTTTCTGTACTTTTGTTTCGTTTCATATTTGCTAAAGTTTTATTTTTATTTTGCACTACTCTCACTACGTCTGTTATGCTGCTTCTTCTTTCACAATTATTATTACCCTTACTGTGTTTATTTCTGTCATTACCTCCAGTATCGCTTGAATCAGAAGTCGGATCAGATGTAACGACTGGGGATGAATCATCACTGCCCTGATCGGGAGGAGAAGTATTGCTTTCATTGTCTTCAGAGCTGTCACTATATGAAGCCTCAAGCCAAAGATTAAGAAGTTTTTGCAGTGTACCTACATGTTGATCTTTGTACATCAAAGCTATTAACTGGACCATAGTTACACTCCAATACATCTACGAAATAAATATATTAATTATTGCAATTAATAGTACCTTTTTTAATGAAAATAAATAATTTGATTTTAAATATTTGTAAAATTATAATTCTACTGGATATATCTGCGATAATGGTAAAATCATATTTTCAGTTGACAGTTAACAAATAGTTGCAAGGAGAAATCTATGTACTCACCCTTTGTGGACATGACAACAAATATATAATGATTTTGTCGATGCTTTGAGTAAATAAATTCCAGATTATTTGATTCTGCATACTTGAATTGGTCAGAGGAGTATTGGAATTAATTGTTTTATTTTCTGGTATGTGTAAAATATTCGTCAGCAATAATAAGCAATTGTTTATGCTATGACATTGATCAAGGTTCAATTCCGAACCATTTTCTATAATATGTTTCATGTGATCTACCACAGCTTTAGTACTTCGTCCATCTGTAAATGCTTCTTTACTTGTGATTAGGAGCCGATTTATTTCAAAAATTGTGTGTCTCCCCATATCAGTGCGAGACATACCTTCTATTGATAATAAATATTCTACGGGTATTGTTAAATTTCCTAATATTTTAATTGTTGTATCAATAATTTTTGATGCGTTTGTTATCTTTGTGTTATCTTTTACATATAGCAGAATTGGGATCAAATGTTTTCTAATATTCTGTCCAAATCCGATAGCTCTTCGAAATGTGCGTAGAGTACAGTCTTCTGTGGCTAGTTTTTTGAGAATTTCTTCCAATATTTCTAATAAATAGTGAAATATTATTCATTGCTAAAGAAATAGAAAATAATCTTACTTAAACAATTATCATTAATAGTGAAGACGTCACCGTTTTGTACACACAAAGAAGAAAATTTGTCCTGTATTGGATTTGATTTAACCCAAGCCATTTTGAATCAGTTGCAGAACAGTTAATCTGGAAGAGTTGGAAAAGTATATAATTTTAATAATTTTTTTGACATTATTGTTTCGCATTTTAAGTTTTGAAAGTAGATTTTCGGAAAATATCATTTATACTTTCATGACATTTTTAGAGCTATAGAAATATAAGGGGCATTTTATTACTTATTTACATATACAGGGTGCCCCGTTCATATTTAGAAAAAAAATGTGTGCAAGTTCCTCATGGAAAAATAATAGGGGTAGTTCATATTAAGTTTTTTTCTTAAACGCCCTGTTTTCGAGATATAGTGTGTTGAAGTTGTTACTTTCCAAATGGTTTTACTTAATTATCTTTAAATCGGCTAAAGATAAAACTGTCAAAATTTGTACACGAGTAAATATCAACTGTGCGTTAAGAATAATGGGCAAACGGTTTCTTTCTGAAAAGCAGTGTCGCCGATACAGGTAATTGGAGGGGTACAATCGAAAAAAAATATGTCGAATGTCAAAATTTATTACATTTCTAAATGGTTCTGTAAGCTCTAAAGCATACTACAAAAAAACGGTATACTTGTCGAACTTCGGCAGCATGTATCATTTTCGAGAAAAATGAAGTTGCATAAAAGCAAACGGGCGACAATTTCAGCATGTCTCCGAGTCTGTTTCCTAATATTTTTCTGTTCTTATCACTTTTTTTAACAATTCACTCCATTCAACAATTGTTTATTTTAGTAATGGTAGTGTAGTAGTTTATAAAATCTAAAATAGATAATTGATTATCATAATCTGTTTATTTTAATTTACTTTTTTAAATGTTAGTTTACAACAATCTGAAATTTAAAATAAATTTCATTTTTTTTAGTTAATAAAATGTTTTACAATTTAACTGTTTCAAGTGATACGTAAGAAATTATAATTATAGTCTTAAATGCAAATACTGTTGGTAGCTAAATGTCTTCAGCTCGTTCATTCTGTACAAATTTTGACAATTTTATCTTTAGCCGATTTAAAGATAATTAAGGAAAATCATTTGGAATGTAACAACTTCAACATACTGTATCTCGAAAACAGAGCGTCTAAGAAAAAAACGTTACATGAACTACCCCCATTATTTTACCATGAGGAACTTGCACACAAGTTTTTTTGAAACATGAACGGGACCCTACAAATACATTAACATAACTATTACTAGTATATTTTCCAATATTTTATATGACTAAATAGGTCTGATAAATATCAAATATAAACAAAAATTAAAATAATACCTCCT